TGCTTTACTAGAATGCTACTTGAGGCATTATGTAAGCGCGCATCAGAAAGATTGGGCAAGGCTTCTAGACATTGCCCAATTCTCTTATAACTTGCAGCGGAGTGAGTCCACGGGGCGGACACTATTTGAGCTAGCCACAGGCCAACAACCACAAACTCCACATTTTACCAGCCGCATTCGAGGGAAAGAGTTTAGGGGCTTATCATATGGCCAAAGGATGGGAGGAGCAACTCGACACTGCTAAGTCTTACTTGGATAAGGCAGCTAAGAAGATGAAGAAGTTTGCGAACCGTAAGCGACGTCCCACGGACTATAGAGTTGGGGACATGGTCATGGTGAAGTTTAACCCAAGACAGTTCAAAGCACTACGGGGCATGCATCAGAATTTGATTCGCAAGTAGGAGGGGCCATTTAAGATCGTCGCCAAGGTAGGCGAGATCTCATACAAGCTTGACATGCCATCATATCTTAAGATCTACCCTGTCTTCCATGCTAGCATGCTTAAGTCATATCATGAAGATAAGGATGATTCGAGTAGGGGCCAATCAAGTCGAGCGCCAATGACTATCACCGCCTCGCATGATCGGGGGATTGAGGCTATCATAGATTACCAGGCCAGGCGAAAACAAGGGCAAAAAGCCACCGCTATGTTCCTCATCCATTGGAAAGGGCANACATAAGAAGAAGGCTAGCATTTGTGAGAAGATTCTAGAGAAGTATGGACATTTCCTTAGGAAGAACCTAGATCCTTATGGATTTGCTAGGAAAGTCCTTGGAATCTTCTAGGCTTGTAGAGAATTCTAGAAAAAGCCCTTATCTTGTAAATATCAGGGACTTGTGTAATAATTAATATTTACACACTAGCCCCTAGGAAACTAGTATATAAAGGGGGCCATTCATTTGTAATTCATCAATCAAGCAAACAATTCAAGTTATCTCTAATACAAAGCCTCCTTTAACAATTCTCTTGTGTTCTTTCTTCCATTCTCTTAGCGATCTTGAGTGTAGTAAGGCTAACTTGACATAGCAAGAACGTGAACAAGTTGTGCAAGATCGTGAGCGAGTTGTCAAGTGCCGCACGTGTACTTAGTTAACAACTAAGGACGTGACACTTAGCTCATAGCCTTACACCAGTGGAAATCAATTTGGATGTTGCACAGGTAATTACAAATCTACGTAGCACCTCTACCAATTTCTCACATATACTCAATGATTGCAGGTACCTGATTCACCAGCTGGGTGATCCACTACTACAACATGCTTACAGGGAGCAAAACACCGTAGCAGACCAGCTAGCTCATTTTGTCATGGAACTAATGGGGTGCAACATCACGTTTTTGGAACAACCACCACCTTTTGTTATGGCAAACCTAGAAGTTGATAAGCTGGGGCTTCAACGAAGACGCTATATTAGTAATAGTTTTCAAGTACAACCTTATGCTAAATCTTTTTGTCAAACATCCGATGAAGCTTCGTCTAGTTGGACTAACTGTAATAGTAATTTCCTAAGGATAGATAGTACTAATAGTGGTAATTATCCGTATGTTTGTAATTCTGCAGCATCCATGCAACACCCTGCAATGCATCTTAATTAATAGTAGTCTTTTCAACCAAAAAAAAAAAAAAGACTCACGCGCTAAAAATTTTGGTAGAACAAACGCATTTGCCAGGTCAACGAAGGATATTTAAAAGTCATAATTCTATTGAGTAGAAGGGTACAACTGAAAATGGACTCACTTAGGTGTTTAGTTGATTGTTGGAAACAACCTAAAGGGGCCATTTATATTCGCCTTCTATATAATCCAACACCAGGTCATCTTTCACAAAATAAATGCTATGTCAAATGCCCCCTTAGATTAGAATGGCAGCGAGAGGTCAACAAATCATTTCACTTTTTGTTTTGCCTCTGTATTATTGGTGATAAGTACACCTACATCATACATGGAAGATTGGGATATGGTAAGAAGAAAAGGAGAAATATTTAAAACCAGTCTTTAGCTTAGTATTAAAACCAGTTGCACTGAGGATAATTGCAACAGATGAACTCACAATTACAGCTGTGGCACCAAAACTACATACTTGCAACGTTTCGAGAAGATGAACAGGAAGTAAATTAAAGGGTGTTGATGGAAAAGCTCAAACTCAATCTTTGACTTCCTTTGGATGCAACATGAAATGTGACCTAGACAGCAATAAACAATCTTAAAAACATACCTGCTACGAATGGCTATGGCTCATAACATCACCTTTAGTTAATTTATGTGATAAATGCAACAGATCAATTAGGCCAATCTTCTCCTTAAGGTTGCAGCAAATTCCTTAAGATAATTCATTTCTTTGTTTGCAGAAGATGAATCCTTGAGAATATAGAATCTATGGCATGCTTGAAAATCTTTTTCTCCATTGAACAAGAGCATTGTGGTCAATATTTTTGTCAATATGTTTGGTCGATTCGATAGGTGTACGAGACAGACCTAACAACCATGTTGCTCTACATCACACTGCCTGTGTGACTTGAGTAGAACATTTTACCTCCGAACAAGTCGAAACCAATTCAACTTAATGGTTTCTGCATTTGTGAATAGAAGCTACTGTATTACCAGATTATATACAGTAGGGTGCATCCCCTGCCAGAAAACTTGAGATCCTACTTAAACAGTTAGGTCATCAGCAACAAGTGTAGTACGATGGGAAAAAAGAAGAAGAAGACAATAGATTACCAATGTCATCATCTCTGCCAAACTCCTCTAGAAAATCTAACATAGGGCAAACCATGGCTCTCACCCTAACTACCACTTCATGACACCGTAATCAAGTTTTTACTTCTCAAGTAAATGTGCAACTCTGTTACATGATCAAAGGTTGTAAATGTAGTTGAACTCATTTACACTTCAACTGCATCAGCAAGGAACTAGTAGTTTATCAAACATAGGTACTTTACAAATGAAGAGAGCAACCACAGCTTTCAAATTTTGATCTTCGCGAAAGAAAACTTAAGATTGCAACAGATACTATTCTCTGATGTGCCATGCAATGAGGCCATTAAGCAGAAAAAAAACAAGATTTGTTTGCAGCAAAATAGACCACAAACATCATACGCAGGCGTCTTCAATGATCAGTGACCACATCATTTGGCATACATGAATGAGGTCCATCTATCACCAGCTCTTTTCTTTAAGTAAACTTACATACAAGAAGCCATACCAGTATCAGACACAAGCCATTGTCTCAACATATTGGTGGGTGTCATACCATTCAAACACGGAAACATCTTCCCACATGACCGGGATCTTCGCTGTCCCTAAATCAGCAACCTCCTTGATAGTCATACGACGAGCATCATATTCAATAATAACTTCTGGCATGCTTACCAAAAATCTTGATGTCTGTTCCTTGTCATCGACAATAACAGATACAATATTGCACGTTCGACGATTCACATCTAGTAAAGCAAGTTCTTCACTCAACATCAGTGGATATGCAGTATGCAGAGCACTAAGATCAACACGATACTTCACAAACCACCTCGAATAATCACTCTCCAACTCGAGAACCTCAAAACTCATTGAACTAAAACCTTGTACCTCAATAAGATGCAAATGTCCACCGGACTGCCCAAAATACCTTATATTCCTTTTCAACAAGCCATTAGGAATTACAGTGCTAGGCATAGTTTTGAAGCACAAAGAATCCAAATCGAACCTTAGAAAGGACCCACCTTCACTAACCCAATGCATACAGCCATTCATGAACACACCCCGAGCTAAAGAGTATTGCTTTATATCCAATATCTCCTTAGAATCTTCCCAAACTCCAGATTCTGATGAGTATACAGAAAATTCATAAACCCCATTTGATTTCATCACACATACAATTCTATAAGTATCAGAAACCATAGGATCAAAAGCCATATTCATTACCATAACCTCAAAAGTGTTATTTTTTCTCATATCTGGAAGTGGAATCAACCTATGCTGATTTGTACTGGGATTATAAACATAGTACACCTGATTTGCAACACCCAAGTTGAAGTTAATACAGAACAACCCATTACAAGAATGTAAAGATTGAAGCTTTGAAGTTGTACACGTGGCAAGATTCTTGAATGCTAAAGGAATCATACTCATTTGTTTTTTAGGCATACCATTGAAAGGGATGAACTCCAAATGGTCATTTCCATAAACCCACCAGCAGAAACAGAGTCCGTCAACTTTTCTGGAACTGTGTTTTCTCCGGCACTGAAGTCGCCGGAAACTTTGGCTTGAAATAAGGGAATACCAGTATTTACAGACGGTTTGGGATCGGAGAAGGGATTTTGGGGGTATCCGGAGGAGAATCTCTGTCAGTAGATCAGCATTTCCGGTGATTTCGGTGACTGAAGCCGGAAAATCTGCCGACCGGTCACCGGAGATTTCATTTAAGGAAGTTTCCGACATTCTCCCGCCAGACCCGGCCCCCAGCCCTAGGGAACGTGTCTTCGGACGGTTTTCGGGTGACAGATTTTTGGAAGGCGGAATTAGAGATTTTACGTATTTACAGCTTGTTTGGAGGGTTGTTCCGTTGTATTGTACTGTATTGTTATCCCAAAACAATGTTTGCTTTGAATGTTTCAATAAAATTGGTCGTATTGTATTGTTAAATTTATTGTTCCGAAACAATGAAAAGTTCTTTTTTTTTAACAACCGATTTGGTGTGGTGGGATTGTTTCCTATTTTTCTTTCCAATTTTGCCCTAAATTATTACTCCATAATTCTATTTTACCCTTTAACTTTTTTTTCTATTTTAACTCCAAATCTCCAACCTATAACCTACTTTATTTGTTTCCCAAACTCCTGTCGTCAACATTAAAGGTATTTTGCCGCCTTCTGTTTGATGTTTTCTCCTAATTTGCTTTTAACTCAATTCTAATTAGTTGTATTCCTTTGTTTTGCCTTCTTTTGTCTCGCGCTCCTTTGTTCACCTTTCTTAAGGTGTTTTGCCTTCTTCTGTTTTGTTTTTTAAAATTATTTTTATGCATAATTTTTGATAAATTTAATATTTAAACAATTGAGGGTATTTTAGTAAACTTATCAGTTACAGTACAATACGATACAGTCAAACCAAACAGCAAAATATTATTTAACAATAACAAACAATACAATCTATTCAAACATTGTATTCATAAAACAATACAATACATTATAAAACGATAAGGAAAAATGATCCAAACAGAGTGTTAGTCCGTGTGTTTTTAGCTATTTTAGGTGTGGTCCTTAAGGCGATTCAAAATCTAACCATAACCGATAATCGAATTGCAAAATAATTTATTGGCTTATTGGTATCAGGTTTATGTATGAGTAAAATCGGGGATAAAGTTACACCTGATTTCTCGGTAAAGAAATGAGAGCACAGCGCGGTCCGATATGGCCTGGGGTAAAGCTGAGGGCTCCAGAGACCAGAGCCCGGGGAGGACGAATAGTGCGCCAAGAATCGGACACAGCCAAGCATGAGAAGAATCAAGTTCGAGCAAATAAAGAACCGAGGCTAAGGGAAAGACGGTTAGACGGGACAAACGAGGGATCGAAATATTCGCCCTTAACCGGATATTACGGCGCAAATCTCGTCCAATATCAACGGCGTATCACAATTTATCAGAAGAGAAAGATTTTTACTTTATTTAGACTTGTACTAGGATTGAAATTCCCCTACTATATAAAAGGGAGAACCTTTTTCATTTTTAAGGTCATTGTTGGCACGCATATCAAAGCAATAAAGTTAATTTTTATTCTCTAATTACTGTTCAAAGTCTTCTTCAGCTGCTTACTTATTTAGTGGTAACCGAGCCCGTCTCGAGGGCTTGATAGGAACCTACTTTCAATGTTCATCATAAAGTCAGGCTTAATCATCCATCGCGTTAGTTTGATCATTTTATTTTCCTTTAATTCAATTATTTGTTTTTCTTAGACCATTCGTATTGAATTAAATCACGTATTCTTTAAACCGTGTATAAATTAAATTGTTACTCATTTTAAGGGTAAATAGTTTGGCACCCACCGTGGGGATAAGGATAATAGTGGTTATTTAATACGAATCTCCATAACACACCCTATTATACACTTGCTCTTTGAAGTATGATTTCAGGTCCATTTAAAATGTCAAACTCTCAGTCTGCTCACTTGAATATTGATACCGAGTCAGGTCACCACAATGAAAACTATAACGTGGTACTAAGCAACGACGTGCCCCTTGTTGATCCTAATGGTGTCCCAATCGCTGACTCAGTCGACGCCAACGCACAAGTTACCAAATCAATGTTCAACCGCAACTTTTTCTTTAGAAGTAGCCTCCAAACTAATCAACTCTAGCCAAATATAGCTCAAATAATTCAAAGTAGGCTTTAGAAACTACCCACGAGTGAAAAAGATTCAATATTTAATATTTTTGAAAAAATTCAACAAAAGTCAACCCCTGACCCGCTTGATCAAAACCCGAGATTCGGACCAAAATTCAATTACCCATTCATCCCCCGAGCTCGGTTATGTGATTAGTTTCGAAATCTGACCTCAATTTGAGGTCTAAATCTCAATTTCTCTAAATCCCCAATTTCTACCGAAATTCCTAATTTCTACCATGGAAAAGCATAGATTAAAGGTTAAAATCAATGGGTGTTTATGAAAATGGAAGTAAATAAGTTAAAATCTACTAACCTTTGAAGTTAGGGATGAAAAATCTCTTCAAAATCGCTTGTAGGTCAAGCTCAAACTTGAAGATGGTGAAAATGGGGATAAATCCTGACTTTTGGTTTGTTTTAATCACTGGCGTCAGGTCTTGCGAAGGACCAGACGCAATCGCTTAGCATTACGGCTCAACTGGTTTTCGCATTCACAAGATGCTCTTCGCGTTTGCGATGGCCTCTCACCCCTGACCTTCACGTTCGAGGTCCAAGGATCGCGTTCGCGTAGAACACCACATAGCTCCCTTCCCAGGCCCCATAACCCTACGTGTTCGCGAGAGGCTGGTCGCATTCATGAAGGGTAAACCCCGCAGTGCTTCGTGATTGTGACCAAGAAATCATGGTGATGAAGAAATCCGCCCCCAGCCCAACTTCCCCTTCGCGATCGCGAGAGTAGCTTTGCGATCCCGAAGCACAAAATGACAGACACCAGATATCAGCAAAACCAGCAGATCCTCAAAGTCAAAAATTGATATGTATCCTATCCGAAACTCACCCGAGCCCCTCGGGCTCCACACCAAATATGCGGACAAGTGTAATAATATCATACAAACTCGCTCGCATGACCAAAACATCAAAATAACACCTAGAAATACGAATTAGACATCAAAATACATGAAATTTTCAAAGAAACTTAAGAACTTTCAAATTCACAACCGAACGTCTGAATCATGTCAAATTAACTCCATTTTGTACCAAATTTTGCAGAATTGTCATAATTAGTAAAAAATGAATCTATATGAAGTTCTGGAATCGAAATTCGAACCCGTTAGCTATAAAGTCAATCTACGGTCAAACTGCGGAATTCCTTAAACCTTCAAATTACTAGTTTTCAACAAATCACGTTAAATCTAGTTAAGGAATTTCGAATTCAATTCCGGGCATACGCCCAAGTCCCAAATTATGATACGGACCCGTTGGAACCGTCAAAATACTGATCCGAATCCGTTTACACAAAATATTGATCGTAGTCAACTCAAATCATTTTTAAAGTAAGAATTTACACTTTCTTCAAATTTTTACATAAAGGCTTTCCGGAATAAGACACATACTATACACGCAAATCGAAAAATGTTAAAACAATGCTAATTGAGGTCTCGAAATACAAAAATAAAGGCTAAAGCTCAAAATGACCTATCAGGTCATCGTATATCAACTCACAAATCTGCCAACACAGTGCACATGGACAATCAATAAAGGAAAACGGATGGGTGTTCAACATATAACATGAATAGCAACAACTTCACAAACGCCCAACTTGGCCTGTTAAGGAAATAAAAACCTAGAACGTGATCTCTAGCCTGTAATATGAACTCAAGTAATCATCCACAATAGGAAACATGTAGTATAGAGACCTCACAACCAAAACAATGTAATAAGAGCAACCTCAGGTCAAATCCAGTCATAACCAACAAATATATGCCAGTGTACATACTCGTCACCTTATGTACACGTCGTTCGTATCGTACAAATAATGCTATTAGACCAAATCCTATGGGGAAGTTCCCCTATACAAGGTTAGGCAAGATACTTACCTCAAAAGCCCTCAATCAATACTCTAAAAGTGCTTTTCCTCTAAAATTCACCTATGCTCGGCTCAAATCTAACCAAAATCGACTTAGTAACATCAATAATGTAAGAGAAACCAATTTCAATTAATAAAGTTAAGATCTTTACACAGTTTCCCAAAAGTCCACCCCGGACCTACAGTCAAAAACCGAGTCGAATGGTAGATCTTGATTACCCATAGCCCCACGAGTCTAAATATGTGTTCGATTTTCAAATCCGAATCCGATTCGACTCTAAAATCTCAATTTTTTTTATTTTTCAGAACATAGACAAAAATCTCCAAAATCCTCTTCAAATCTCATGATGTAGATGTTAAATCTCATAAATAATAATGTTATATAATCAAAAATAGATCAAAGTCACTTGCCCAATAGTTTGGTAAGAAAATATCTACTCAAAATCACCTCCCACCGAGTCTGGGGCTCAAAATATGATAAAATGAGACTACTAAGTCCCGATATACACAACATATAACCAACTGCAGATGTCGCATTTGCGACTATGGGTTCGCAAATGAGACCTCCGCAAATGCAACACAGGCGTCCCAAAAGTGAAGCCTGCCTTAGCCCTGAGAATCCTGAAAATGCGACAATTTGTCCGCCAATGCGAACCCAGCAGGCTCGCAAATGCGAGAAAGCCATTGCAAAAGCGGCTTGCTCCAGCCCCAGCTCCCCATCGCAAATGCATATGCAAACCCAGAACCCATCGCAAATGCGATCTTAGTTCCGCAAATGCGAAAGCTGGTCCCGTAGCCCAACATCGCAAAAGCTAGAAGGATCTCGCAATGGTGGTCGCAAATGCGAGAACATAACACCAGCAAAAATCTGAACCTCTCTCAAACTCTCTGAAATGCATCTAAAAACTCACCCCGAGCCCCCGATGCTCTACACCAAGCATCCACACAAGTCTAAAAATATCGTACAAACCTGCTCGCTCGATCAATTAATCAAAATAACATCCGAAACTACGAATCAGATACCAAAATACATAGAAAATCACACTCAAGAAATGATAAAAAGACAACCATGCGTCCAATTCCTATCAAACCAACTCAGAATGACACCAATTTTGCAGACAAGTTTTTAAATGAAAAAATGGACCTATTCCAAGTTCCGAAACAAAATTCAAACCCGATAGCTATAAATCAAACCATGGTAAAACCTAGGAAAATTCTAAACCTTCAAATTGCCAACTTTCACCAAAAAGTATCAAATTAACCTAGGAACCTCCAATTCAATTCCGGGCATATGCCTAAGTCCAAAATTACCATCCGGACCTATCAGAGC